TTACTGACAAGATGCGCGTTAAATATCGCATGCGATTTATCGTGCAGCCCTAGTCTGGCCGGACACGGCATCAGCAGTATGTGAGGGGCGTAACATTTCCGTCTCATGCTTGAGGTATTCGGCCAATCACAACGCATTGGATAGCTGGCCAATCAGAGCACACCTCGCTTTTTCAGACCGATGAGTTTTGTAAAAATCGACGCGTTTCAAAAAGGCGGGGCATAGAGGAGAAACAATAATGTACAGTATGTGGAAAATAATGTGTTTTTTTAACTTTAAACCGCATAAACACATTTCATTACACCAAATACACAAAATAATGTTCTTTTTAGCAGCATCATATGACCCCTTTAATCTCAAAACAATGACAAAACTTTCAATGGTATGCTTGTCTCGCCTATGCAAGAAAACAGGCAGCAGTTGTATATTGTAGTGCAAGTGCACGAAATCACATTTTTAATGTACATGCATGGAAAAAAAGTCTTCTGCTTTATGCAGTACAAAATTATTTTAGAAGTAATGGGACTGATGCAAAATTGTAAAAGTTTTGAAAAGTTTTAATAAAAATATTCAGTTGTAACAAATAGACTCTTGAATCTTTCAGATAGACTTATGAATCATTGATATGGGATGATATTAGACTCAAAATGATTACTAGATGCACGCACAATTATCCATGTACTGCATACATTTTATACATGTATCTTACTAACCACAAACAAATGCCTTTCAATTTGAGTCTGGAATTCGGGATTAAATGATTGTGCAGTGATTTGTACAAATACAGATATGCTTGTGAATAAAAATTTTCTGTTCTGCATTAATATATCATAAATTGCTCATCGCAAATGTGCGTCACTACACTGAAACAAATGCTTTTCAACCAGTGTCTGCAGAGTTAAGAATTACACTAATGTGCAGCATTTTGTTCAAATAGAGACATATTTCTGATTAGCTATGCTGATTAGCCGAAGATACATGTATAAAATGTATGCAGTACATGGATAATTGTGCATGCATCTATTAATCATTTTGAGTCTAATATCATCCCATACATTGAGATGCATTTTCACAAAAGTCATGTACATACCACAGTGAACAAATGCTGCCTTTACATGCTATTTGGAATTTCTTACTTTCCAATTCTAGAATCATTATTATTATTTTGTTGCGTTCAAGTGCTATGTTGTCAGAAATAATAGGAATCACTGAGGACACCAGGTTCATTCTTGTCTATTTCTTAGGGAAATCTTATTAAAACCAAAATGAATTGAAGATATTTAATCATTAATCATTTGAATAAAATCGAGTCCTGTTTGTTGTCAACCATATAAACATTACCCACACTATTGTATACATTAACTGTGCTGTCTAGATTGTCAGCTTGTGTTTTCGCTGTGTAAAATACATTCAATATGCATCTAATGGGGTAGATTTTATAAACATAAATGTACATGTCTGTATCAGCAAGAGAAAGCAGTGTAGATGTGAGAAAAAAAACTAATAAAAACAGTCACTACAGCAATAGTTCTCTCCTCTTGCTCTAGCACCTCTTATACTGTCCATAGAGCTGTTTTGCTGAGAATCTGGGTTGCTAACAGCACCATTACAGTTCTAGAAGTGTTTGTCTACAGTTGCTGAGGTCACATTCCTGCTCCAGGAATCTCCATTTTGCCCTTGAACATGGACTATAACTCAAAGTGCTATATACAGAGTGTCGTAACTAGTGTAATTTGATTGAAAAATTACTGTAGGTATTGCAAGTAATGCATTAACAAATCCTTCAGAGTGCATGTGTTGTCTATACTTATGTCACAGTCCATATACGGTTGGCCAATTTGGTCCTGTTGGTATCATTTAGATGTCATTTGACCAATTGCCGAGTCCATGGCAGTTTGTTTAGAGGAGACATTGTAAGGCGGATTCTCATGAATATTGACTTTTACGTTCTTTTATTTAGTCCTTGTGGAGTTCAGAAGCGAATGCAAAGTTTGTCATTGAGAGTTAGTCTGGTTGACTTCAACACAGAGGATGGTATGGGCTTAAGCTGCCTGTTGGAGATATTGGAGCCTTGGGCATATCAGCGGTTCAATGAGGAATGTCCTATGTCCTGCTCTGGTTTTCATTCAGTCAGCTTTGAAAGTAGCTTCTGATCCCTCTTTCCACTCGACCCGCTCTGCACTCTGACAGACTGTCATGTGCGATCAGCGTTGGCTTGTTCACATGCCACTGTTCAGAGTAAAGCTTAGCCTGAACAAAACTGACCAAAGACCGGCCCGGCCTGGGAAAGTCAATGTGATCTCCCATCAACATTTGTTAATGTTGTAAAAGGCTTTATTGTCTGCTTCATAGTCATTTTATACACACTCTCTCTAAATCAGTTTCTTTCCCTTTTCCTGTAGTCATTCACTGGATCTGTGTAGTTGAGAGAGCTGAAAGCCTGCACAAACACTAAATAATTCACCAGTGTATGAATGAATAGCCACGCAATGGTTTAAGGCACCACAGAAATGCCAGTTGTATTATAGCCACTATGTTACAATATTGTTTCTAATAATGTATTTGGAATATAATACAGTAAATGTGGAATAATCAAAATTAATTTAAAAGTACCTGGACACATGATAATTTTTTTTGGGGAAATGGTCATAAAAACAGTCCTAATTTTCTTTTTGCTATTTACATATATTATCTGGAGCACATGATATGTTGTGACTTTGTTCAAAAGTGATGAGTTTGATGATAAATGCATCTATTGGATTGTTTAAGGGTTATTAAAGTCAATTAATATTTGGATAAAATGAGTGCATCTGTGTTACACTCCAGTCAGTTTCACCTTTAGTTTCTTTTCCACTTCACCTTTTTTAGGTTCATCAGTCATGTAGAAAATTATTCAGCTGAGGATTTTAATAGCTGGAGTTTTCTGACTAGTTTTGGCTTAGTATATTTGCATCAAATTCAAATAATCAAGATTGCTTCAAAAATTCAGGACTTGAGATTAGCAAAATATTTAAGGAACTGATGAAATTGTAATAATGCTTACACGTTTGAATAAAAAAAACAAAACAAGGTTACTACTTTAAATGTAGTAATGTAGCAAAAAATATTTTTGCTCCAAAAGAGCCTCAGATTCCATCTGTCATTGTATCTTGCATATTATCTTGTCTATATAGATTTACAACTTAACTCTTTTTTTCCTTAAAAAATAAAATAAAGAAATAAATAGGTAAAAAGTAGGGCTGTGCAATATATCGAAATATCGCAAATGTACATATCGCAATATGCATATCGCTACAGCTTGCAATATTTGGGGCCATGAACAAAAGACAAAGAGAAAATCACTCACTGCTCTTACCTAAATAACTTTTGTAGCTTAAATAAGAATCAGTGCATATTGAATTCATAGAGTATTACACTAATGTTAAAATGACATTTTTATGTAATGCTCGAGTAAAACACTGTTCACTTTCAGAAGTTGTTGTAGGGGTGCTTTCTTATTAGAATCAGAATCAGAATGAGCTTTATTCACCACTTAAGTGTGCGCAAGCAGGAACTCTTGGTACGTACATACATACAAATAACCATATATATATATATATGACACAATATAGTTATAGAAGTTCACAGAACTGACTCGGCAACAGCTGAGTAAAACTGTTTCAACTGAGCATGTGGCACTTTAAGCATTATCGCATCGCATATCGAATATCGCATTATTTAATGAGTTATCGCATATCGCATTTTTCTTCAATATCGCACAGCCCTAGTAAAAAGCATTTTGGTCATACTTAACCAGGTAAATGATAACATCAAAATACGAGACATTATAATTATTTATAACAGTTATATATCGGTAAGGTCTGCAGGCAAAAAAAAAACAAAAACCTTTTTTGTGATTAATAGATATTTTATGATTCTGTGCAGGAGAGAGCCATTCTACACAGGAAGTGGAAAGAGAGCGGAATAGTAGCCTGAAGAAACAGATTGAGAATGAAATGAAGCAGCTGGAAGAGGAAATTGCGGCCTGCAAGATATTTTTTGTTATTACACTGTAATTTCATGATAAAATGAATCTGGATCATAGTTTAAAGTCATCTGCCTCTTTTTCTGCTCAGCTTTTTCCAGGACTGGTTTTGATCAGCTCATATCCCCAGTGTTCAGTCCAGCCAATCCAGAAAGCTCCATAGAAGACAGCCTGGCAGTGCTGGGGGACCGCGTCTCACGGGACCTGGACACACACCTGTCCTCCGCCACTCACACGCTTCTGAGCAGGTCCTTTTAAACGTCCAGGGAAAATTCCTTGACAATTTTAGTAGTTGGAAAAAAGATCTAGCAATGTACTTGGCAGAGGTCTATGCCAGAAAAATGCATTGTGTAAACAGCCTGCACACAGTTATTATAAGTTGGCTTTAAATTAGTTCAAATGACTATTCTTGACATTGAGCTTAAATATTGACGAAAGCTTTCAACATATGTTATGCTGATGTTTTTTCTGAAGAACAAGCAAATTCAGATTAATGCAGAGAAATGTTCATTATGTATGTGCCTCGCGTGCAGTGATTTGGACTTTGAGCACTTCAGAGCAGCGGTGGAGGAGGTATCTTCTCATGCTCAAGGAGGATGGAGCAAGGTAATCCAAAATACTCAAAGCACCCTAAAGGCCATTGGGATGTTTTCACTGAATCGTGAATGTATCTGTCCTTCATTTTCTTATTCTGTGTTACACTGTTTAGGTGTTGGTACCCTTAGTATTGTTACAAGCCCTACAGAATGAGGGGCAGCCACTGGAGGCACTGCTACACCATGGTTTGCGTTACCTTGAGGAATCGCAATCAGACTTCATCATTCAGCAGGGAGGATGGGTGAGTGACTTATAATTGATGGGTGATGTACTGTCTGTAGCTCGACCTGGATGGTATAGCCAGTTTTTTTCCATTTCAAACTTTTTTTCTATCAGTAATGCACATTTCTATGTCTCTTTTTCTGGTGTAGTTGTGCATTATGTGAGTTCACAAAACAAATGCACAGCACTCAATGATAAATTAATGTCTGTGCAACCTATTAGCAACTTATGAAACAAATGACAGTATAAGTGTCTAACTGGGTGTCCCTAAAGCAGTGGTTCTTGACCTTTTTAACTAAAAGGTCCCCATTGTCCCAACACACTATCTGTAGATAAGATATTTTCCCCAGTATTTCTACTACAATTTTGACAAAGTTGCTTGTTTTTAATCTCTTTTTATAAACTGAAACTCTAGTTATTGAGAGGGGAAAAAAATAATTTCTTGATTTCTTGCATTTTTTAGCATTTAAAGTTAAATTATTTTAATTTATCATTAATATTATGAATATTAATTTTATTGATGATAATATATTAATTATAATAATTCATCTTGGGGGTTTGCTGAGGCCCCCTGGTTGAGAACCACTGCCCTAAAGAGGTGAAGGTCAGTTAAAAATACAAAACTGGGGAGGAATGGTCATTCACTGTGTTTTTCAAGACTCCTGTCAGGAGAGGGAGCCAGAGCTGTGCTCATGTTTTTAACATATTACCTAATTCAGCTGCTGCTGGATAATGCTAGAATAACTTCACCAACACATTGTATGTTGACAAATTATACTTTGTTTAAATTATTTGCTCAAAGTGTGAAGGACTATGTTATCCATACAATCCTTAGCAGTGTTTTTTTTTTAAACTCATTATGTGGCTATGTGATGGCTGAGATAACTTTGTTTAGTGTTTCATCAACAATTTCACCTTCCTCTCACCTTTATGGACAGTGATAACTTTAGGGTGCTTCTGGCAAGCTGTGGTGATCATGAGCATATTTGTTTATGGTACAACTCTTTGCAACTTCACATTAAAGATCATAATAAAAAATTACTCTTTAACTTAATGTTTTGCATAATGCGCACACTTATTCCCATTCATCTTATCAAAATGTAATTGTATGTAATTTGATAGTTCAAACTCAAGATTGATCATTTCGGAAGGCTATCATACCCTCATGCAAATGTTTTATGAGAACAGCTCTTCACGTTTGTCAGATGATGTCGTAAAGCATGATGTAGTTCTTGTTTGTTTATAACATCCTATTTAGGTCACACTGTATCTCAGATGAGGGCCGTCCGTATGAAAGACTCAGTTCATGCATTCTGTGTCAGAAGGATTAATTTAATTAGAGTGCCGTTGACACTGACACAGGGAGGAGGGGAGACCATTGTTTTATACTGCCGCTCAGTACAGGACCACATTCCAGTGATGGAGCGAGAGCTTTGGCGTAGATGATACGGGATGAGCATCTGTGAGAGTTTGAATGCAGCTGGGAGGAGTCTGACGAGGAGGAGACCGTGTGCAAACAAACCAGACCTCCTGCTCAGCAGTTCCAGCCCCATTACTCTGACAGCAACCTTTATCCTGCCTATACTTTCTCTCTCTCATTCACTTTATTTCCTTGTGGTCACTGCTGGAGTTTTGCGCCGAACACAGGCAGGTAGGACAGCTGCTTTCTTCTAGATGTTCTCTTGTGGTCCATTTGCACAAAAATATAAACGTTATCGATTTAAGTCTTTTTGACCGCTTTCTTGCTCTCCATTACGTAATGGCCGTGGCAACAAAGTTGTAAATGGATAATAAAATAGCAAACACAAGAACACTCTCACAAGGTTTAATTCTCCATTTAGTTCTGTCCATTAAATAGGCCAGTCTGTAAATATTTAATTTGAGGATTAACCTGTTTTAGTGTTGAAGTGACTGCAGTTGGAGTGACTTTGTTTGCTCAGTACTGCTTTTAGATGAATATAATTGTGTTTTGGGCAGTCACTGTTTTTTTTTGCATCCTTGAAGAAGTACAATAATTGTTATAGTATTACAAAACAATAAAATAAGCCTTGTTAGTAGAACATGAGAATGAATTTCTGAGTAAATTGTTTGCTAAAACATTCTAGATTGCTGCATCAATATAGTGTCAATTCATGTATAAATGGTTTTAATACGCAATTCATGAATGAGACCCAAAGTCAGTGACATGAATGAAAAGGGATCTTTGTGTGTGTCTATTCTGCAAAACCCAGGGCAAAGCAGCGAGAAGCCATTTTGAAAACTAAAATACAGCATAAGTCAATGACATGTTCCCGCTGAGTCACGCTGTCTGCTCTGATCATGATAACTCCTGTAGGTCAAGGGAAAGCGTTCAGTGCACCACCAAAGGGGTAACAGATACCCGGTGTGTGGGACGTGGGGGACATTTTGTCTTGTGAGTTACTCCACCCCTTTATCCCGTTCTTGTCCCTCTGTCTGCTCTGTACGCAACAGAGTTGGCCTTCAGGGTGTCTGTGTCACATGGCACAGCAAAGATTCTTGAGATGGTATGATGTGATGTAATTTGACTCCTGTTGTGCTGGTACAGACAAACCGGACCAAAGCAGTGTGCCCCTGTCTGTATATCAGTAGGTGCTGAGAGCGGTGCTCAAGTCACATCAGATCGCTCGGCCCGGCCTCTTACGTAACTACATTTTACAGGCGATGTGCTGCTCTCATCACACAAACAGAGGCCTTACGCCACCCCCACACACTCCAGAGATGAAGAACATAAATAAATCTGATAAATCCTCCTATGATTCAGCTGGAGCAAGGCTGTCCCAGTTTGATTGCCTCCAAACTATTCACAGTGCTAGTTGAGATGGTGACCTGTATGCATGACATCTTATGGGAGATTCAGACGAATCTTTCAGCTAGTATCCAAATTTGGTTTGGATTCAGTTTAACAATATTAAGTATTTGCTTGCGTACATTTAGTATATGTTTAGTTGTTTTAAAGGGGCAATGTTAACCCTTTAAGGGTCAAGTCTGTCTGAAAGGCTAATGCTCTGTTTATTAATGAATGAGCAGGCTTATGCGGTGAGTTTCCTCCAGTAGGTTGCATGATGCAGTGGGTAAACTGGTCTTCTTATCAGCAGACACAGTTCAGCATTCACAGTCAAATGGTACAGTATGTGGAAATCCACATGTGTGGTGCACCCTCAACAGACAAGATATGTTTATCTTTGGTGTGGATGCCTTAACAATAGAAACTGCCTTACAAGTGTGTCAGAAGTAGTATATACTGTCTAAAAGATGTCTAGTGTCTACAGTGATTGTGATTCAGAATGTATGAGCATTCACATTTATGGACATTACTGTTCAAAAGTTTAGGATCAGTAAGATTTTTTTAAAAATTAAATTAATACTTTTATTTTGCAAGGATGCATTTATTTGTTCAAAAGTGACAGTAAAGACATTTATGATGGATTTACACAAGATTTCTATTTCAAATAAATGCTGTTCTTTAAATATATTAGAATAGTTATTTTAAGTTGTAAAATTGTTTTTTAATATTACTGTTTTACTGTATTTTTTATCAAAAAATGCAGTCTCTGTAAGCATTAGAGACCCACTCCATTGAACTATACTGGTGTATATTTAGTATACACATTAGTTCTCATACTTATTAGTAGCTCAGTATTACTAAATGGTTATCACTAGACCGGTTGTATCCTCTGTACACCACCCTATCTTCAATATTGCACTCTTGTGTGAATGCGAAAGCATTTGAGTTTGGCAGATATGCGTGAGTTTTTGTCTTTAGGTGAGGGTGGGTACATGTACTTAGGGTGGAGTGGTGTATAGGCACACAAGGCTCACCTAAGAGAACACGCCTTACAGCATAACTTCATTTTTAGACAGTCTCTGGATAGGAAAGCAAGCCTAATCTTGCAGGAAACATTCATCTTACTCCACCGTTCAAAAAGGTATTGTCAATTTTAGACTATGTAAATAGGGTTTTTGTTACTTTTTTTCTTGGGTTTATTTAATCGGCTTAATAAGTAAAAATTCTCAAATCCATCCCAATCTAGTTTTCTGTGATGGTTTCACATGCATTTAAGTAGGTGTCTTTACTTGCCACAGATTATTTTGTGTCATTTTCATTAAAAATTATCACCTGTAAATCAAGTATAATATGTGCAGTGCTGCATAGCTCATTATACACTACCATTTAAAGTTTTGGGGCTGGTACAAATTATTTTTTTTAAATTAATGCTTATATTTTCATTAAATCAATGACAGTAAAGATATACAATTTCAAATAAATGCTGTGCTTTTGAACTTTCTCTTCATTAAAGAATCCTGATAAATGTATTGTTTCCACAAAAATATTTGGTAGAACTGATTTCCACCTTGATAATAAGAAATGTTTCTAAACATTAATAAATGCAGCCTTGATGAAAGCCTCCATAACAGACCTTTCAAAGTAGAATCTCAACCCCAAACTTTTGACTTTACTGACATAACCTGTTGTTTGTTTGTTGTGTTTACCATGCAGATTAAAAAAAAAAAAAAAAGAATTTCTGTCTTAATATATGAATGTTGAAGTGCATATGGTCCACTGGTTTCTTTGGAAACTCTAAAGCCATATGACTATTTAGTTATTTTTTTAGGTTACACGTGATGGTTATCTATCTATCTATCTATCTATCTATCTATCATGTATAAGGCACTGTCACATTCTACTGGTTATGTGCTTATGGTCCTCTCTCTGTTAGCCATCAGATTTGAATCCAGATGCTGGGGTCTAATGTGCTTTTGAAAACATTAATGTGAGACAGGATTACATGTGAAACTAGATGCACGTGCACAGTGGTGGATTACTGAAATCTAAAAGACCAGAAACGGCACAGTGAGCAGAATGGTGTCTTTTAAGAGGAGTAAGGAAGGGGCAGTATATTAAATTTTTTTTGCAAATGAGCAGAAACTAACGTATTTACAGACGATGAGTTCAAATTCAAATAGGCTCATTTTGCATGCTTGACCTAGTAGTGGTAGACATGCAGAACCCAGTGGCATATGCGCACACCACAGCTGTATGGTGATATCATTGTGTGGGTGACAGAGGAAGATAAAGACATGACTAGATAGGAGGGACCCTGGCCAACAGTACAGTGAATAGAGGTGGAGAGTGGATTAACACACTTCCTGCTGAGGTCTTTCCTTATTGTGAACGTTGCCCTCAGGTCTGTCTTTGTGTGTTTTTAAAGAAGATGCTTCATTCAAGTTATTTTAGATAATAAGAACCAATCAACACTGTTTTCAACTTGATTTGCTGTATCTGTTTATGTACTCCTTTTAAAAAAAATTTTTTTTTTTACAGTTTTTGTGCAAGAACTAGGAGAACTGAATAAAAGCTTTTATCAGCCAAATACACTAAAATATTATTCAGTTAATAAGTGTCCATCACTGCAGCTTTGCATTTTAAAGTTGATTTTGTTTAGTCAACCATGAAGTAGAGAGAATTTATTATTAGAGCTGTATTACTCTCACACTCCACTGGGTGGCATAAGAAATTCAGTGACAAATGATGCCTGTCATGGTAAATTCCAAGTACTAAAAAAGACATACTCCAATGATTCTGTTTGAAAGTTGGTGTGTGTGTGTGTTTAATAAATACGTTTTATTTTAACAAGCTACAATACCATTCAAAGTTTGGGGTGGTATGATTTTTAAAAAAATATTTTGATTAAAACTTACACTCATCAAAGCTGCATTTATTTGATTAAATACAATAAAAATAGTAGTATTGTTAAATATTGTTACAATTTAAAATAATTTACATTTTAATATATATGAAAGTGTGATTTATTCCTGTGGTGGCAAATATACATTTTCCTATTACTTCCTGATCCTTCAGAAATTATTCTAATATGTTGATTTGGTACTCAAGATACATTTACTATTATTATCAATGTTGAAAACAGTTGTGGTGCTTAATATGTTTTTAGAAACCGTGATGCATTTTTTTTCCCAGGATACTTTGATGAATAGAAATAAATAAAAATAATTTAAAAAGCATTTATTTGAAATGGAAATCTTTTGTGACATTATAAATGACCTTACTCTGTTACTTTTGATCAATTTATTGCACCCTTATTAAATAAGTGTTAATTTATTCAAAAAAATCTTACTGACCCCAATCCTTTGAATGCTAGTGCACGTTTTTGAAAATAAAATAAATAAAATGAATAATTTTGCATATGAATTTTGGTATTGTAATGACTATACATTGACCATGAGAATGGTCTCCATGAGAATGATTTGTAGACACAGTCAGGCTTACCATATAAGGAAATGCACATATTGCATGTTTTTGTTCCAGTGGTAAAGAAAGGTAATGAGATTAGACATTTGGAATCACCACAGACGGAAATGTGTACGTACATTGCCTTACCACAGGTTTAAAAATGAATCATAAGGATGTGTTCTTATGACTCAGATGTTGCAAAAATAACAATGTTGTGTTCTACGTAATAGACCTTCATTGGAATATTGAGCAACATTCATGTTTTAATATCGATTTCTTAATATTATTATTTTTTTATTTCTCATTTATAGAAGAATAGAATAGAAAGAGTAGAATATATGTGTTTGGAATAAAAAATGATTAATGGACCAACTGATTCATATTTCCACTCTTTACATTACAGGGCACTGTGTTCAGCCTGGATGAAGCTGAGGACCCTGGCGTGATCATAGCCGAGGACAGTAACGACATCTACATCCTGTCAGGTGAACAGGCCTCGGATCAGCTGAGCCCTCCTGCTTCACTACTGACTCTTGGAGATAGCAGTGGGCCAGCTTCCTGGCAGACAGAGAGTCTTCCTGTGTCTCTGACAGGGCACGAGTCTTGGGCGCAGGTTGGCATGATGGACCCAGAAGACTCCAAGAGTCTGGACAGCGCCGAGGGAGTGGCGTTAGTTGAGGAGCAAAGCGAGAACAACTCCTCGAACTCTGACATTGTCCATGTGGAGCGTGAAGATGCCGAACTGCTTGAAGAAGGTGGGGAGACGGTAGAGGAAGGGGAGCTGCAGAGTAGCATACTTAGCGTGCTGGGCAGTGAGAGTGAACTCGCTGCTGTCCGAGAAGAAGCACCAACCGCAGAGTCTGTGCAAACTGCAACTGAGCCGATTGTGGAACCAACCGTGATGGAGATGCCTCCACCTCCAGCCTTAGTAGAGCTAGAGCACCCAGCCGCCCCTGCTGCTGCTACCACCTCGTTCCCCGTGCCTGAGCCTGAGATTCAATCTCAGCCTGTTCCAGCTCCTGTGGAGCCACAATCATCACCCTCACCTGATCTAGAGCTGGAAGTGGTCCAAGCAACCCTGGAGCAGGAGATACTTCCAGAGGTTGATCTGAAGGCCTTCTCCCTGGCCCACGACCTCCCTGTCCCGACCCCTCCTGAGGTGCAGACAAAGTCAGTGCCACAGCCTGAGACCTCTGACCTCCCCGTGCTGCTATACGGTGGTGCTGCCCTGGTGGCCATCGCTGCAGTATTGGCTTTTGGAGCGCTGGCCTACAGGAAGAAGTAGAGAGTCTGTGACTGTCCATGACCTCACTGTATCTCTTGCCCTAATGGAAGCCCTGTGGGTCACAGTGCTGCCACAAGCAGTACTTTATGGGAAAAGTACTCCTCTTATGTGTCATTACATTTTATTTTATTCTCATTGCTTTTATTTGTTGGCTTAGTTCTTTAAACCAGCTTTATGACTGGAGAGGAACTTGCAGGTGCAAAGTCGGGTTTCTTTTGTGCTGTATTAAGGCCTATTCACACTGCACAGACAAATGCCTACAAACTTGTTTGTACATGTTTGTTGGGTTTTGTGTGATCAGTGTGTTACCCCTGTCGGTGTTGGTCGGGGTTTGTTTTCACCCGAGTGAACATGTTCAATCAGTGTTTGTCGGTGTCTGTTGGGGCAGTGTGAACACGAGTTATTTTTCATAAAATTCTAAATCCAACGGCCAACTTGTTTGTTGGTGTTTGTCTGTGCGGTGTGAATTGGCCTTTAGTGAACATAGTAGTGATCTGTTCACTAGGCTGTGACCAAGGTTCCTGGTTTCAAAAGGAACCTTAAGGCTTCTGATTCAGAGGAAGTAAGTTAATTTTTGTTAGTGAAGCATGTTTATTTTCATATATAAATATTTGATTTAATGAAATAGTTTGATTTTAAAACAAGTTTGTGTGAGTGCATGGTTATGATTTTACCTTATCAGAAATGAAATATTAAAGTGCTAAACTTTATGGGCTGTGCTCTTCAGATGGATTGTGTGACTGATATTCTCCCAAAATATATCAGTACTTATACAAAATTACTCGCAACAACCAAAAGCAAAGTCTCCACGCATCCTTGATTCATTTAGACATTCATATTAACCATCTTTAATGTATATTTGCTTTTGTGTGAATC